TTGTCAAAATTATGGTCCCTTTTAAGGTACCCTAAATAATAGGTGCCGTACTATAATAAGGACCCAAAATGGGACCATCATTTTGACAACCGCCCACATATGGAGACACACACACACACACATATATATATATATACATATATATATACATATATATATATATATAAATACATATTTACACATACATATACATATACTGTATATATATATATATATATATAAATATACATATACATATGTATATACCTCTATGCATATATACATACATACATATATACATATATACATATAAACATATATACATATATACTTTTATACATATATACATATATACATATACACATATACACATATATACATACATACATATATACATATATACATATATACATTTATACATAGATACATATATACATATATACATATATGCACATATACATACATATACGTATATACATATACACATATATACACATATACACACACACACATATATATATATATACATATACACATATTTACATACAGGTATATACATGTTACATATAGGTATATACATATACATACATATGGGTATATACATGTACACATATATACGTATATATACATATGTATACAAATGTATATACATATATGAGCCCGACGCCTTTAGGGTTTATTTAGCTAACATTTTATGGATGCAATATAAAATCCCCAGCTAAAGAAAGGTAGACATTGCACAAACATAGCCCCGAAAAGTTTGAGACACGCCTTGAGATACAATTGAATACAGAATTTCCATACCAGGCAAGCAAAGATGACAGAGATCTCACAAACATCATAAAGATGATAAACAAAGATGGTACACATAAAATTTTGGAAGAAGCTGCAAGAACAGATCGCCGGCAAAATTTGGTCCAATCGGCTCTGCTCTCATTTCCCTGGTTGCCGGTAGGAAATGATAGCGAGGACTGTTCCTTGGTTACCGGTAGGAAATGGCAGCGGAGAGGATTGGACCAAATTTTGCCCACCAGCTGTTCCCATTGCTTTCTACATGTTACCGATGGGAACTGACATCAGAGAGGAGTGGACCAAATCTTGCCATGCAGGCAAAGATGATAAAGATGACACAAATGTAATAAAGATAACAAACAAAGATGATGCGCATGAGATTTGGAAGAAGTTCCGGCAACAGCTCTTCGGCAAAATTTGGTCCAATCCTCTTTGCTGTCATTTCCCTGGTTACCGGTAGGAAATGACAGCGGAGAGAATTGGACCAAATTTTGCTAGACAAGCAAAGGTAATAACGATAACACAAACGTGATAAAGATAATGAACAAAGATGATGCACATAAGGTGTTGGAAGAAGTTCCGGGAACAGCTCGTCGTCAAAAATCTTGTCCGATCTTTCTGCTGTCATTTCCTTGGTTACCGGTAGGAAATGACGGCGGAGAGGATTGGAGCAACTTTTGCCGACTAGCTGTTCCCATAGCTTTCTTTGATGTTACCGATGGGAAATGACAGCAGAGAGGAGTGGACCAAATCTTGCCAGGCAAGCGGAGATGATAAAGATGGCACAAATGTGAAAAAGATAACAAACAAGGCTGGTGCACATAAGGTTTTGGTTCAAGTTCCGGGAGCAGCCAGTGGGCAAAATTCTATCCAATCCTCTCCGCCGTCATTTCCTACCGGTAACCAAGCCAAGCTTCCGAACTATACGGAAATTCGATATATAACATGATGGCAGTTATCGGAATATCACGTAAGATGTTGGGTGCATCAAGCATGGATGCCGGTCACCAAGCCAAGCTTCTGAAGTGTCTGGAAATTCAATGTATAAACTGTATAACATGATGGCATTCATCGGATTCTCATGTAAGGTGTTGGATGCATCAAGTAAGGATGCTGGTTGACAAGCCAATTTGGTCCAATCCTTTCTGCTGTCATTTCCCATCGGTAACAGCAAGACAGCAATGGGAACAGCTAGTCGGCAAAGTTTGCTCCAATCCTCTCCACCGTCATTTCCTACCGGTAACCATGGAAATGACAGCAGAGAGGATTGGACCAAATTTTGCCGAAGAGCTGCTCCTTGAACTTCTTCAAAATCTTATGTGTATCATCTTTGTTTAATATCTTTATCATATTTGTGTTATCTTTATCATCTTTATTTGCAAGGTAAAACTCTCTGCATGTTACCGGTAGGAAATGACAGCAGAGAGTATTACCACATTTTGCCGGCGAAAGTCCCGGCAAAATTTGGTCCGATCCTCTCTGCCGTCATTTCCTTGGGTACCGGTGGAAAGTGACAGCAGAGAGGATTGGACCAAATTTTGCCCGCGAGTGTCCTGGCAAAATTTGGTCCGATCCTCTTTGCCGTCATTTCCTTGGTTACCGGTAGGAAATGACAGCAGAGATGATTGGACCAAANNTGGCAAAATTTGGTCCGATCCTCTTTGCCGTCATTTCCTTGGTTACCGGTAGGAAATGACAGCAGAGATGATTGGACCAAATTTTGTCTGCGAGAGGTCTGGCAAAATTGGGTCCAATCCTCTCTGCTGTCATGTCCTTGGCGACCGGTAGGAAAAGCCAGCAGAGAGGATTGGACCAAATTTTGTCCGCGAATGTCCTGGCAAAATTTGGTCCGATCCTCTCTGCCGTCATTTCCTGGGTTACCGGTAGGAAGTGACAGCAGAGAGGATTGATTGGACCAAATTTTGCGCGCGAGCGGGCTGGCAAAATTTGGTCCAATCTTCTTTGCTCGGTTCGGGTAGGAACTGACAGCAGAGAGGATTGGACCAAATTTTGCCCGCGAGTCCTGGCAAAATTTGGTCATGTTCTATACATATCTTGACACATGCACATATATATACACGTACATACGTATACATATAAGTAAATAAATACATAAATTAATAAATATATATATATATATATATAAATACATATCTGTGCATACACGGACCCCTTTTGATTTACACAGGTTTACAGTTATACATATATTTATACACAAGTATACATATATAACCATATATATGTTTCCAAATAGACTGAATTGTGTGTGTGTGTGTGAAGATGTTCCAGGTGGTTTGTATGTACTTGATTCGGAGTTGAATGGCGAAGCCAGCCAGATTGCATGACATGGGCATTGCGGCGAAGCCAGATTGGGTTTAAGCAATGTAAGCTGAGGCCATCAACATGCGCGAGATGTTCTCAGGTTTGGAAACCAAGCGTTGCTGCGAAGAAGAAACGGAGGCATCTTGCTTGTCGTGTTGCCCGCGCCTCAGACATTGATGTTCTTATCAGTGCAAATGCAAATGTAGCAAGCACTCTTCAACCCGCAGTTGGTGAATTGCGTTCCTCGGCCCTGACTGCGTATCAATTGTGCCGGTGATAGGGTGCTCCTGGCACATGCCCTGCTGTTGCATAAGGTGAAAAGCATTTCATATTGCGGGGCCAGAAATGTTCCTCAGATGCACGGCCGGAGGTTTGATGTAGATGTTCCACGACAATTTCATGTCCGGGTGTTGTTGAGCCAGCGAGGCGTAGATGTCTGCAGCACCATGTGCTCTTTCGGATGGTCTGGTAATCAAAAAGTTCCGCAATGCCCCGAGAAACTTGGAGCCTGGTCTGCAAGTGCAATAGCAAGCAACATAGGTTGTTGGCTTTACTCGGGGCATCTGCCCCTAGTTTTTGAGGCGGCTTCTGCCAGCTGTTCCAAGCCCATGTCCAAGCAGCGTTCTGGCTTTTGGTTATATAGTTTCACCACGAATCATGCATGAACCAAGTCGGGGTTGAAAGCACCGCAGTGAGTGTTTCAGGTGCGGAAGAAGGCGGTGCTGAAGAGTGGTATGCAGAAGATCCAATGAAAGACCGGGCATGCGTCTTTCTAATGTGTCCGCCTTGAGTTGCTGCATCCCGATGCAGTTGTTCAATGTGTGACGGCAGGACCGACCTCGGCCAGCAGTACCAGTTGCTTGACCAAGTGGATGTTTTTGTGTTTTCAGTGGCTGCAAGCGATACCGGTGCACGCTCCTGCAGACACGCTTTAAGAAAAATCGCAGCTAAGCTTCAGCATGCAATCAGATCTGCAGTAAAGGACACGAAAGCCGATAACAAGAAGAAGGTGGACAAAGCCATTTCGTTGGGGTTCTGATCTTCGTGCTCTCAACCCAAGAGCGACCATTGGCAAAAGGTGGAAATGAGGCGAAGAGTCAGCTCTGGACATGGGTGTGTCATGTGAAGATGGGAAGAAGTTTCCAACCTTGCAGTCGGGAGCAATGGAGCAAAGGTAGATTTTTCACATTGGCGTCGCTTGCGCAGTGTCCTTCGCTGTTGTTGGGCCATAGACTCTAAGATCCTGTGTGCAACGTCAAGGGTATAGTGCATGGACAGTCAGTTCGTCGGCAGCCGAAAGGGCGGTCAAAAGCCATGGCCTGGACATCCCGTGAGGAGCATGAACAGGAGCCGGGAGACATGATGGGCTGTGTCACAAATCTCAGCTTTGCCTTTGTTTCCCGTCTTTCACTAGCTGTTACCATGGGTTGGGGAAAATGTTCCAACTTGTTCCAACCGCGAACAGGAGCTCCACAATCCACCGTTGCGGTGCATCTCTTGGAGCTTGCAAGCTGGGAATAGGGCAGGTAATCCTCGTTGCTGCAAGACTTCACACGTGCATTGGGCTGGATATGCTGAGCACGGTCGGTCGAGTCAATCTGTGTTTGAGAGATTTCCTGCATGTGTTGTGCTGTGTATGTCGTTGGCTTGACCGCCAGCCGAGAGCTTTCGGGGTCTGCTGACATGCACAAGACCCGTTTTGTCATTGGTTGACAGATATGCGCCAAGACAGGGCAAAGGTGACAGGTGACAGGAGGGTATTCCCAATGACCCAAGTCTAGATTTGCCAAATGGCAGCCTGCTGTTTATAATCGAGCTTGGGTCTGATCTTTTTACAGCACAAGAAGCTTCGCAACAGTTCTTTCGTCCGAGCCGGAGGCATTCCGGAGAAGTCCAAGCAACTTCAAGATAGTTTAGCTTTGCTTTCTACATTTTCCTCTTCGCCATGTCGTGGTATCCACCACAGGCAGCGCCGGGCGCGAAGGCATTGAGTTGGGCAATACTCCCGTTTAACATTGACTGTTCTAACGGACATCGAGGTGTTGATGCGGAACTTCCCAAAGAGCTGGGTAGCAGAAGGCGCCGTGGCAGGACCCGGCACAGCCAGGCGATTGTTGATGTTGTCAGGGTAGGTTTGGACGTGAGCATGACCCGGTAAGAATGAAAAGGACTGCCGGCCCGAGTCCACAAGCTCCTGTCACGCTTTGGATCCCTTCAAGGGGAGCCTGAGATTTTCGATGGTGGGTTCGACGTGTCTGCTGTGACTGCCATTGCTTGCTTCGAGACCATCGAAGCAGCTCAGGCCAGGGTTCCATGCATGTGCCTTTGGCTTGAGAGTGCTAGTGATGACTGCGATGACGAGTTGGTGGTTAGCACAGGCCGCTGTGCAGACGCTTTGTGGAGCCGACATGCGCACCAACACAGAGAAAAAGGTCTGGCCTCAGATTTGCTCACCGCATGGACACGGCGGGAGGGTGCACTGTGTCTCTATGTGCATTGAGAGGCTGCTGGCAACAAGCCGCCGCTGGACTCTGAGCGGTTTTGGGCCCAGCTCAAGGCGGCCCCTGCGTCGGCTGCGCCTTCAGGGGTTCCACAGGCACGTTTTGAAGTCGATCAGCGCAGCAGCTCAGCTTTTGCGTCTTAGCGCTTCGCTACGACCGCCACGAGGTGCCAAGGAGCGCTTCCTCGGCACTGACAGCTCAAACACCGGAAGTGAAAGCAGAAGCAAAGGGGGAAGCAAAAGGAGAAGCCCGAAGGGCTAAACCCTCCGTGCCAGGGTTGCAGTGGACGAAGTTCAAGATTCAAGAGCTTTGTTACAGGAATTTCTGTATTCTTTTACCAGGTGCCTTTGCCTCATGGAGAAACAGAGGAGCTTGTGAAGCCTGATGCGTGGACGGCTCAGTAGTCATTGTGGCATTGTCCCTTGTCAGGAGTCTTACATCCTCGTCCGTGGCTTTCCTGCAAGCTGGAAAGAGCCGCAGGTGTCTTGGTTGGGATGGGCTGCTCCGGCACCGCCGCTGATGGCTGTTCAGAGTTGGTACGCAGTTAGCTTTTAGTATTTCACCATCGTTTCCCTTCAGGTCAAATACCTGTTCGTGGTATTCGGTGGCACATCTTCGGTGATCTTCGTTCCGGATCCAGAGTTTGGCCGAGCTGCGCAAGTCATGCTGAAGGATGTCGCGGGACTGGCAAGAGCGGCAAGCTCCCTCAATGAAACTGATGTCGGAACCTTGTGCTGTGTTAAGGCTGTGTTGATAGGCCGTGTTGAACATGCTTCCTGGTGTCTGTGCAACAATCAGGCAAAAGGCTAACCAGTCAGCATTGGGATCGGTGCTTCCATGTTTCCTTGTTCTTTTCGCATCCTGCCAAGGAGATGGTGGCGAACTTAGATGGGAAGCATGGTCAGGTGTTGACAGGTCTCAAGAGTTTGGGAGAATTGCATTGTTGCTGTGTTGTGCATGATGCCATGGATTCACAGGGGTCAGTTGTTGCCGCATTGGTGTACAAACTGGCAAGTGATATCTCGTAAGCAGTCTCGGCTGAGGTGACATGATCGAAGAGTGCCACATCTTGTGTTCGCGCGGGCCGTAGCTCATGATTACCGGTTCCATGAAATTAGGCCGAACCTAGGGTTGCTGGTTGTGCAGCGCCGAGGCACGTCTTGGGAAGACATGAGCAGCAGCGCCTTGACGAACAGGCCACCAGCAAAAGTCCTCCCAACACCGGGTTCCTGGCCGCCCCAGAAAGGTTATTTGAGCCAAGGTTGCATGCTAGCAAAAGGTTATCAACAGGCACATGCTACAGTACAGGCTCGAACCCGCACGAACGGAGGCGAAGAAAGGAAGCAAGGCTGCATGGAAGGAAGGAATTAAGGAACGAACGAAGGCACAGACACGCACACACACACACACAGACAAGTATGTAGAGGGTCCTTGTGCCTGAACACCTGAAGAAAGCAAACACACATGCACACACATAAAACAAGCAAACAAACGAACGAACAGCAAACAAGCAACCAGTGCGCGGCTTCCTGGAGCTCGTTGAAGGCTGCCAAGGCCCTTGGTTTTCCACACTGGTGGGTGTGCGCCGCTGGGTACCGGAAGGCGACAAGAAAACCTCGAGGGTGGCAGCCCGCGGCTACACGGACAACCAGTCGAACGAGGCGCTACTCCGGAAGGCGATGACCACCAACCAAGTTCCCTTCCAGACTAATCCTAGAGGAGCTTTCGGCGAAGAACTGTGAGCTCCAGCTACGGTGGAGTTCACCCAGCTAGCGGACGACCTGACAAACGAAAACTTCACTCTTCGGCTTCGCTAGGAGATCAGCTCTGGTACGTGATCAGCTCGTCGACCAACTTCCGTGCACGACCGATGTCACATTGAACGACGGATGTGATCCAGTAATGCCGTCAAGCTCAAGTGTGCCATCCAGAAGTCAGCACTTTTCTGAAGACAGAATGATGACCCGCAGCGCTCAACTACAAGATCTACTACAAGCGTTGGGCGTGCAAAATCGGTCAACATTTACTTCATCATCGGTCGCTGTGACCACCCAAAATTCGTGCGGACGATGAGGACGCAAACAGCGAAGTTATCGTGAAGTTGTTGACAGAAGACGTACGGATGTCAGACGCAAAGGCCGAGGCCAGACAACAATCAATGTCAACCTCCAACACTACACAGAATGAGGCACAGTTGACAAGTCCACGCGAACACACACGCGTACACAAACATACCGCGACACACACCAACACAAAAACGCACAAACACAAAAATACAAACACAAACACACAAACAAACCCACACACACACAGCAAAAACCACGCACACACACACAAGCAGCCACAGCAACAGCGACAGCGGTTTCGACAGCCACAGCCACATCCACACCCACACACTTACTGGAGGCGGCATGCTGGCATGCTCATAGAACGTTGTTGCAGACGTGCAGGTCTTGAGTATGTTGGATCATGGATGGAAGCTATCGATATTGAGTGTCGGTCAGGAGCAGCGCCAGCGGAAGGCAGAGGTCAAGGCAGCAGAAAAAGAAAAGAAGCGAGAGGAGAAGGAGCGCCGACGTCGTGAAAAGGAGGCGAGGGCTGCAAAGGGCTGCCTCCAAAAGCGGTTGCCATAGGAAGGGTCGGAGGGTCGGGCCCAGTTCGAAGCCTAAGCCCGTGCGAGTCGACGATGCTTCGGTGGCAAGACATGGCAGACGACCCTGCATTTCAGAGTTGATCCAATGCAGTGCTTGGGCCCGTGTTCGACTTTCCATAGCACGGGATTAGGTTTAGTTTAGTGTTGAGGGTACAGGACTTAGCGAGTTTAGTGTTTAGTGATCTTGCCTTCGTGAAATGGTATCTGCAAATGATGCTGTGCCGAGCTTGGCCTGCAAGAGCTGCAGGTTCAAAACGTGACGGCGTGCAGCAAAAAGATGCACAAAGGTTCCCTCGAGAAGATTAGGAACCTCAAGGACCAATGGTTGCACTATGGGGGGAAACCTTTCCGGTGGGATGAAAGGCTGCGGGTTTCCCGCCCTCTCCCCACGTGTCTCCTCCCAAACCTCAGGAACTGACCCTCTCCACTGTGGGAGGGGCACATAGGTGCTGACCATGGCCCCCATGCCACATCTACAACCACGGTGGGTGGGACAACGCGGACTAGACAAGACGTGTCAGTTCCTTCTACCAGCTGGATTCCAGTCCAGACGCTGACGAGTGAAGATTTGATCAAGGATGAGTGGGGCCTGGCAGCAAGCGATCATTTTGATTGCTCCCCAAAAGCTCCGCATGTATATCTCTTGCAACGGGCGTCGCAGCAATGCGTGCAGTACCCTCGCTGCAAGATCCTGCCATGGCATTTGGTCCGAAGGTCCATACACCAATGACGCGGTAAATATTTCACAGCATCGACAAGAGCAGACCCAAAACTGCAAAGGAGGCGCAGGTGGGCTCTGTTTCGGTGCGCACAGTGTCCACAACCCGCCCGCACAAAGAAGACCATCACGCAGAATCATGCAGATCACGGGCTACCATTGGCCATGTTTAGAGATTCGAAATTGCCCCGTCCATCGAGAACTTGCCGAAGTCACAAAAAACGGGACACTAGCAGGCCCGATCCCAACGAGACCATTGGCATTTTTACTTCGAGATGATGATCCCATTCTCCGACAACGGATCTAGGGTGCTGCATCGCTGGAACAGCTAACCATGGTGTGGTCTGCAGGCGAGCAGTGGACCTGGAATCCATGCTGCTGCGGGCTTGGAATCTCGGTATCATGGCGAATGCAAACGGACCCAGGAATGGGTCGCTTGGGGCCCATAGCTGTTGCTGTTTTTGCGACCGCCACGTCTCAGCCGCGCCGAGCTGTAGGGATGGGTTGCCTGGTGCTTCAATTCTCGTTGCTGCGGAACTTGTCGAAAGGGGAGCAGACCCACTAACAGCCCACATCGACAAAGGGAAACCCACGCCCGGGCAAGGTCATCCCCTAGCCCAAGCCCGGACTCACCGCTTAGAGGGGAGAGGTGTATCAACCCAGGCACGTTTATCCCCGTAGCCCAAACCGCCCAAGCCCATCCACTCACAGGGGGGGACGGTACCTTTTCGTGAAGAGCGAGGGGGTTTGGCAACGCTGCGCCATAAAAAAACAAAGACCGCTTTGTTCAGGGTGCCCTTGTTCCGTTCGCACTTTTCGGCGTGTGTTGAGCAGGAAAAGAGGAGAAGACAAGCAGCAGAGCAGGAGAGGATAAATGAGGAGGAGCGCTTGCGGCAGGAAGCCGCCGAGGCGGAACGCCAGCGCCTGGAGGCTGAGGAAGAAGCACGCTTAAAGCGGCAAGTCGAAGAGGAGGAGGAACAGCTGAGAAGGGAGGCTGAAGAGGAAGAAGAGCGGTTGAGACAGGAGGCCGAAGAAGAGGAGGAGCGCCTCAGGCAGGAGCAGCTTGAGATGGAGGAGCTCCAGCGAAGAGAAGAGGAGGAGCTTCGGCAGCTCGAACGACGGGAAGCCGAGGCCGGGCTGCTCCGAGGTATTCGTGCAAGTTTCCGTTCTGCTCCGGTGCCGTGACAGGAGGCGCAGCGCCGTCGGAGAGCTGCAGAGGAGGCTCGCACCTGGCGGGCACGCCGTTCCTGATGCTTCCCGATCTCGCGGGCCAGGCCGAACAGCGCATGTGGGAGGCAGAGGAGCGAAGAAGGAGAGAGGCTGGTGTGGTCGCTGTAGTATATCAGTCTTTGCTAGTCATGTCTTTCGTCGCTGGGACAAGGGGGCATACAGGGGCATCGTTGCATCGCCCGGGCTTCGGACAAGGCAGAAGAAGAGAGATTACGAAGAGAAGCTGAAGAAGAGGAGGAGCGGATGCGAGCAGAAGCGGAGGAGGAGGAGGAGAGACTCAGAAGAGAGGCAGAGGAGGAAGAGGAGCGCCTCCGACAAGAAGCGTTAGAAGAAGAGGAGGAGATGGCTTTGCATTCATGGATTGGATATACTATACGGCACGATGTACAAAGCACTGCGGTGCAGCGTTGACCCCATGCATTCTTCATGGCTGTGCTCGTAGTCTCACCCCATTAGGTGTGTTTCCGCCGGTAGTGCCACGGGAATACGACGTCCGCCCCACGTTTGCAGGAGCGCCGTGCTGCCGAGGAAGCGAGAGAGGCGAGACGAGCAGAAGCCGAGGCCGAAGAGGCCCCCCTCTGCGGGATCACCCCGTGCGCTGCTGATCAGTTGGCGAAGGGTGTTTCGGCGGAGCTTGGGATGACATGCTGAGGGTCATGATGCGCGATGTCCCTGATTCATTCTCTTTATCCGATACTGTCTTAATCTTGTCCCTAGTGCAGCTGGCCAAGCTAGCGTTCGGGCCGGTGCCATCCATTCCAGATGCGCCGTCTGGATCCTGGAAAGGACAACCCTCTGGTCGTGCGAAAGGCACAATCCTTTCCAGATTCCACTGCATGTGACACGTGACTCCTTCGCCCTCCGCTCGAGGAACCACCGCGGTGCTTACAGCATAATGTCTGTGTAATGAGAACGGCACGATCCCTTGTAGATTTGAACGCACGGGGTTCTTCTGCTCGCTTTCGTTGGCGCGATCCACTGCGAATAACACTGGCGAGCCTTTCGGCGTTCGGGGTCCGATTCATGTGGTCGGCGCGGTTTGGCACGATCCTCTGAACATTTCACGTGCCGCCCGTCGCTCTCGAAGGACAGCCCTGTCGGTGCCCGAGTAAATGAATCCATCTCTAGAGGGATGGATTACTGAATGTTGAGTGACGATAGATGATTACAGACGGCTGGCTGCATAGATGGAGTGTAACCAGTGTAAACTGGTTTATGATAGTTTATGTCTATACTCGGATGGATTGGGGCATGCATGAATGCATGCATGGTGCATGGATGGAGGATCCTGTTACGGTCGTTAATTGCTGATATATGAATGCATGAATGAATGCATCCATGCATGCTCTCATAATGTGTAGTTATGTCGGTGCTTTGGGCTGTGGATGCTTTCGGGACACCCGCGCTCTCGTTTTATTTTCATATTCTGTGCTTCGTACACTTTCCGCACACTCGCAGGAGCATTGTCGGCAAATGGCTGAAGAGCTCCAGCGCCAGAGGTCACCCGGATTCGAAAGTTGCAGGCTCTGTGGACTCAGGAAGCATTGTGCCAGCACCGATTAAATCTGAAAGGGGCCACATTGTCGTTTTGATTGGTGTCGCCGTCGAAGTCGCCTGCGCAACACTTCGTCCACGATGTCAAGGTTTCGAAGGGTGTAGTCCAGCAGCATAGAAACAGACTGCTGCTGTATCTTATGCAGCAGGACGTTAGGTAATGAAGCATGAGCTGGCAGAGACGCTAAGCATCTCGCAGTGAGGCAGTTCGTGGCCGAGGAAGCTCTGGCAACGGCCGAGGCGCGAATTACACTCGGTCTCACCTTGACGGTCGGGCTCTCATGCGTGTCAGTGCAAGGACCGACAGCCAAGCCGGCAGCACGAAAGACGCAACGATCGATCCAGAAGCCGTGCTAGCAGCTCGGCTGCGACCGGCTGCCCAGGTGCATCTTACGCCAGTTAGTTGAGCCAAGCTTGAGGCAAGCCCTGGCTGAACTGCAGCATTAGTACAGTCGGCAATGGAAAAGATCTTCCTGGTCTTGAGGTCACGAAGTGGCAAAGCGGAGAAAGAAGCAGAGACGCAGTGCTTCCAGAAGCCGTGTGCGGCGCAAGGACAGACCGGGTGAGGCAGTCCGCGCAGCAGCCAATGTTTCGCCGGTGCCCGTTTCGGGAAAGCGTGTGCAGTTGCCTGCTTGCAGCAGCTTGAACAGGGCCTGGCTCTTTTGGAACCTTGCAGCATTAGCCATACGGACGAGCCCTTGGCAGGAGCACAAGAAGAAGCGACGTAAATCGGCTTCCAGATCTAGGAGCAGCCGCTCGCAGCAGAGAGCATTCCAGTTCTTTGGATTTCTTTCAAGTCCTCGTGACCTTCTGTGCAGCTTCAGGCCACAACCATGCACGGCCTCACCGAAGCCGTGCCAGACTGAGATCCGTAGGGCCGCCGTGGGTATGTTTTGCTTTGCAGCAACGACAACTTCCTAGATCTGGACGAGGGATGTTCGCTTGCTGTCCGATGTTTCCACCGTGTTGCCAGGGCGCAGGGCGAGCTCGGGATCCCAACAACAGGACAAGCAATGTTGCTCCCAGCCTGTATGCAGCTCCTCTGCCGATTGTGGCTGGGAGGAGCAGCCACGCACGGAAGCTCACAGCAATGGGATACCTGCGGTCCATCAACCCGACGAAGCATCCACTTTTCTGGCCGCGCCTCCGGTTGAAGCTCTTTCGCATCCGGATCATGATGCGGATGGTGGGCATAGTTTGGAAAATCTAGCTCCAGCAGCCTCGAGCCCTGACCCCAGCACTAAACTGTAGGTGGAACCTGCTGGCACTTTATGGTTTCGCCTGTCAGGTGTACCAGCGAAGCCAGCTGCAGTTCCAGAACACGCTGGATTCGGCAGCTTTCCGCGACCGCACCCTCCAGATCCGGCCCTGGAGTTGCCTCCGCCGGTTCCGCCGGTTCCGCCGCTTCCGGAGACTGCAGCGGACAGCCAACCAGCGGTGCCTCTGGGGGAGCCTCTGGCAGCGCCTCAGGTGAAAGCGGCGCCGAGAGGCAACTTGACAGCGTGGCATAGCGTGGCACTGCCTGGGAATGTCGGGATGCAGGATCAGAAGTAGCAGCGTTGTTTTCGTTGCTTGAGGCGCCTTCACGATGGCTTGGGGTGCTGCGCCTACCCGCAAAGCCAGCCCTGCAGTTCCAGCACCAGTTAATCTCTATCAGCAGCATCTCGAGTGGCATCTACGACGCCATGTGGCAGTCTGTGTCTCATTGTGCGCTTGACCAAGGCAGTTTGCTCATTGGCAGCAGCAGCAGCTTTTGGTCCAGGCACCATCGCTGGATCATCTTGGCTGCATGTCCCGTCATGTGCGAGTTAGCTTCTGCCAGGAGCAGCACCGCAGAGACTTGGAGCGGCAAAAGCGCGAGGAGGAGGAGCTGAAGCGGGAACTGGAGCAGCAGCTTCTTCAACAGCTCGGCTCTGAGTTGCTGCGCTGTTTAGGGTTTCGGCGGCTTATGGGCGGAACCATGACGCATCACACGAAACGAGGCAGGCGAAAGAGGAGGCGGCTCGGGCCCGCGCCGCAGAGGAGGCTGCGGAGGCCGAACGTCGTGCGGCGGAGGCGGCGGCCAAGGCGGCCGAGGCGGCCGAGGAGGAAAGAAGAGATCGGGAACGGCAGGCGAGCGAGCTCCGGGACTGGGAGTTGGGATGTCCTGAAACGAGACCATGCCAGGAAGCTGAGGAAAGAGCAAAGCCACCCCTGCCTGATTGATCGGCCCTGCTGTTCACCCTGAATGTCCGCTGTCAGCTAGACGAGCATGGCAGGCAGGCAGAGAGGCAGCGTATCATGCAAACGTGGCAACAGGACTGGGAACGGGCAGGGTGCTACCATGATTGTGGCCTGCAGACTGCTCTGCAAAACGAGGACTGCTAAGCCCAAGTAAGATGACCACGTGAGGCTGAACGGAGGTCGGTAGGCAGTATGTATGCAAAACAGTGTACTACCACAACGGGGCTCTTTCGTTGGCTGGGGTTGACGAGGAGGATGTCCATATCGCTTATGTAAAGGACCTCTTGGATACAGAGGAGAACCCAGTTCACATGGGAAATGAAATAGGCTACGCGCGCTGCGGGCATCGCTGCAAGCGGACTGGATACGGCACACCGCCGCAGGCTTCAGCAATAATGTCCACCACTCGTGCACCGTGCTGTCGAGGTCATGTTGGCCTTCACGTGAGTAGCATGTGCATCATACACATGCTGCTGAGCGCTTACGACACACTGCCCAGGGCTCCGAGCTGTAAGAGATGCCGGTGAGGCAAAGGCCACGCAGGAAAACAAGAGAAGGTGACTCACGGAGATGGGCTTGCAGAGTGGCCTAGACGTCCAGATATTGTCGAAACCTGCATCCCCACCCGAAAATGAGAATGAAGCAAGGCCGCTGACGACCCAGGACATAGACAAACACCTGACGTCACAGTCAGTCGGTGGAGATGCTGGAGAAGTTCCTGGTCGAGTCACTCCTTTTCAATGATTCCCAACGAACGCAACCGGCAGACCTTCCAGAGCTCAGGATTGCAGCAGCTGTCGTGAAGCAGGAAGGGGAAGCTCCTGAGCCAGTGGGGACTCCCGAGCCGGTTCCAGAGCTGCAGGTCGTCCGTGCAGGGCGTAGACCTGTGAAACTAGAGCTTGGACAGTCTATGCCTATGGAGGGCCTCGGCGATCGGCAGGAGGACTCCCACTCCCCGTTCCACTCGCCGAAGTTTGTCCGGGATGGGCTGCAGGGCAGAGCACTTCAGATGCATCCGGATGGCCTCTTCCGCACTTTCAACTTCGATGAAGTGGGCCCGATTCTTCAGCAGGGCCTTGTTTGCAGCTTTTTGCTTTGCTTTTTTTTTTGCCTTTTCATTTGCAGGGCCGATTTTGTGGATTCGTCCTCTGGGAGTTGAGCCAGCTCGAACTCCAGGACATCTGGTGGGAGATCGGCGAAGTTCACAGAATGAACCGGCCAAAAGCACTGAGTTCGGCAAGCAGTCGATAACCCGAGCTTTTTCAAGGTGACCAGAGGCCGAGCCCCGTGGCCGCGGCACGACGAACGATAGCGCTTTTGGCCGGTTCATTTTGTGAACTTCACCGATCTCCCACCAGATGTCCTGGAGTTTGCGCGGGTTCAACTCCCAGAGGACGCATCCACCCTGCAGTTGAAAAGGCAAGAGACAGCCAAGCAAAAAGCTGCAAACAAGGCCCTGCTGAAGAATCGGGCCCACTTCACCGAAGTGTAAAGTGCGGAGGGGGCCCTCCGGGTGCATCTGAAGTGCTCTGCCCTGCAGCCTTTTCTTCGGCATTTTGCCGACTGTCAGCTGCCAGTTCCTTCTTCGGCTACCGATTGCGAGTTTGAAAATGCTCCGACATGCTGCCCAGGTCGTTTTTGCCCCCCCACCTCAGCAGCAAAGCCCTGCAGTCTACATCATCACTTGGACATCGTGCACCGCGTGGGCATTGTCTTGGAGGTCAGTTGTTCTCTCCACCAACGGGGATGCTACCGTTGTACAGTACCGGCTTTGTTTGCAGAAGATGGTCCTTGGGAACTTCATGCGGCAATTCCCGACGGCTTCGTGAGATGCGTCGGACCGCCGCAGGTCATGGCATATCGCTGTGGTGCTCCCGGCCGGTGAACACGGGTTCCGCGACCGTCCAAGTCATTGTGAATCGAGAGATTTGTGCTTTCTTGCCACTGTGCCGTGCTCTTTTTGGGCTGTTGTTGCTTTCCAACTTCCCCCATCTGCGCTCCCGTCACAGTACCGTGCAGATTTTGGCTGCGACTTGTTTCCGCCTCCAGTAATCGTGCTCCCACAACCTTGCACATTTTGAAGTGGGTCTAAGTCTTCCTTTGGCACCCTCCCCCTGCCGCAAGGAGGCAGCTGGCCAAGAAGAGGCGTCGAGAGCGCAGCGGCTGGATGCAAGAGTAAGCTGGACATCAAGACAATTTGGAGCCTGGCAGCTTCGTAATTTTTGTGAAGCTTGTTCATTGCAACCCAGGTTGGCGCACGCAAGCGCCGACCAGCTAGCGGCGCACTTCTGGGGCCTGCCAGCGCAACCTGTGTCCACAACACCTGTTTTTCCACCGGGCCACATGCAGCACTTCCTGGACCAGCAAGTCCGACCACAGCACGCATCTGCAGCTCCCTCCTCAACGTCACAGCCACGACACCACCCCAACGTTCCCCAGTCACTTCCTCAGCATCTGCCCCCGTCCGGGTCCCAGCAGACGAAGTGGCATGACATGCTCAAGACTACTGCGGATGGCATGCCACAGTTGCAGCCGTGTTTCCTTGCGGTTAATAGTTTCACGAATACCACCGGAACAAATTCAACAAATTTTGGTGTGGTTGAAACATGTTCTTAAACGAGGCAGTTGCATGGGGACCTTGTTTTCAGCCACGGGCAGCGAAGTGGTCCTGCTGTACTCTATGGTTTAGTCGGATGATTGGTATTTCTATCCTGTGGTGGGGACTCATGTCGCCAAGAAGAGATCTTTACTTCATTCAGCGAGTCGAAGGCTTGCCATCCTGCGCAGTGCATCATCCCGTTTTGCCTGTCCCAAGACAGACACTTTTCCCGCTTGATTTTGATTAGACTTTTGGGCCTGTGTCGTATTTAACCGTTGAGCACTTGCCCGGGATCCTGTTTCTACAGCTTCTTTTCAGAAGACGACCAGCAGGGTTTTCTTCCGCTCACTGTGAACTCGGCATGTAAGGCCCTTGCTGCAGGCGGCACCTGTGCAACATCCTGCAGGTTGGGCGCTGCTTGGCTGTGTGTGGTTCGGTGAAGTGTGTACCGTGAGAAGAAAGGTGGACCTATGCAGCCTGCCGAGCAGGAGCATGTGCCGTTGCAGAGGGGGGCAGAGGGGGGCATCCCGCCCCGAATGCCATGGAAGTGCCATGCCGGCAGGACCGCGACGACCTCACCGAGGCCTCCGACGCATCGCCGCAGGCCAGGGGGCGTAAGCTCATGTTCACCCCTTCTTTCCCTCCAGATTCGAAGCGGCGTTGTCGCCACGAGCTAGAGAGAAGCAGGCATGAGTTGTCACTGGCGCTAGGGAGCGGGATGGAGCGGGCTTTGCTTGGTGGCGGAGTGGAGACAGACTATACTAATACATGCAAGAACGAGGTTTCACTGAAGAGCGCAGAAGGGCTTGCCTTGCCCCCTTTTGTAGACTGTATTCTGAATGACGAACTGATTTTTTGGAGGGCAGCTATTAAAAATGTGTTGAAAGGCTCATCTGCAGCCTCGAGGCTGAAGTGACTGCGTATCGGTGTCGAAGCAAGAAAACTCGAGGATGTGTGGACCGAGGCCGACTTTGGCACCCTTGCAAGGGAGAAGAAGGAATGCTTCCATCGCTTTAATTTCTTGTACAGCCTCATGGCTCGTCACGACTTTACAACTTCGAACCTGCTCGGCAAGATGCGCTAAAGAGACGGTCTCATACTGTTTCCATGTGGTTCCCAGAACCGACGGAACAGCTCGGGCCGCTTCCGTGACAGTGCGACCGCCACCACGTATATCCACGAATGCTTGATCGCATATGGTTCTGGATGCCATCATGTCAGAAAAACAGCTTGTACTGTAGTTTTCCGAGGACCTGCGTTGAAATCAAAGGCCGTCTCTGGGTCCCAAGTTTTTGGCTTTTCTGCCTGAAGCAAAACTGGAGTTTCAAACGCGACAGCCTCACTCGTGAACAGTTATGAGCTTGGACATGCACGTGCAGACAGCGATCGGTGACAGATTTATCAGGTGCCGGAGAACGACGATGCTGACACAGAGGAGCGCAGGGCTGCTTGCACTGGGCAATGCCAAAGCCGATGGGATGTCCACTGAAAGCATGCTTGATACTCCCTGCAGGATATAACACAGCAGAATCTTCACACATACGCATGCTGCAGGCACCAACCGAAGAGTCCGACTACGATCCCTTTGCCGGCGCAAACGCGGCACAGGTTTCTTGATTTTGACGAAGTGCCGTCAGTGCCACAGTGCGTTTCCTGTAGCTGTGGCATGTTGGCAGGCTGCTCACTCTGCGAAGAAGGAGAAGGCCCTGTTGGTTGACCTTCTTTCATGAAAGGTGCGTAATCACGGCCAGCACACTACGTGCAGGAGTACAATCCCTTCGAACAGGCGGAGAGAGATGCAGCAGCTGCAGAGGAGCTGAAACCCAGCAGCCTAGATTTTCTCTTTCTGGTTCGCAGCATGGAAGGGCCCCTGCGCTGGCAGTTGCTGATAGTACAACTTGCGATCTACCCTGTGGGGCGACTTCCACCAGCTGTTCACCAGGATGACGAGGAGGACGAGGGAGCCTTTGAGTCCCTCATTGAAGCTGGGACAAAGATGGGACAGAGAACGGTCAGAACGGTTAGTTAGCACACCACAAAGCGGCCTAATAAGGAGATGCTTCGAGCAGCGGAACGGGAGGGTGGCTCCGCCTCGTCGAGGCTCCGGCGAGGTGAAGCCGCATTCAGCCGACGTGCTTGGCATGGGCTTCTAAGGTCTGTCGACCCCACCCCGGCGCCACAGGCGGCACAACAGTCGCGACCGATGGACACAGGCTGCCGGTCTTTGTGCTGGGTTTCTTATGCTGTGGGTGTTGGGCGTTTTCCTCAGCTTTGGGTTTAGTTTGGCCTGTTGCGGCTGCAGTGGCGAGGTGCCAACGGTCTATGTTGTTTTTGGAAATGTTGATGCGAAGCCCATGTTTGGAGAGTGCACGGTGGTTTGCATGGATCTCAATGCCTACTGCTTCTTCACTGATAACCTATGTCCTATGTCTTGCAGAGGCATGGCAACAGTGGGATATTTTTTTGCATGTTGGTTCATGGTGTCGTTTGGAGTTGGGGTAGCGCATTTTCGGCTTCGGCTTTAACACCACAGTTGGAGCTTCTTCGATTACGAGGAGGTGAATCGAATGTGAACAACAGCATTTTCCTCGGCAAAGCAAGAAGTCAAAAATCAGGTTTCCAAGGTTTGGTCTGCTCGAGCTTTTTGACCTCGGGCTCATGGTTGATAGGTTGAGGTGTGCACGTGGCATTGACATGTGCCACAGACTATTTTGCACAAGCGCGCAAAAGAGGCGTGGCAAAAGTGGATGGACTTAAAAGATGTTGATGTCGAGTTACCATTTCCGTTAGCATGGAAATTGCGTCGGCAATAATAAAAACTATGGAAAACAAGTATTTTACTACTCATGCTTGCTGGCTTCCTCACAGCATGCACATTGTCGTCGTCCATACGGGCGGTTGCGCAGCACCAACGTCTGTGTAGCGTCCTAACCAAACGAAACCCTAAACTAGACTCCCTTTCCCTCCTGCCCTCTCCCGTCTGACAGCGCTTCCCTCCCTCCCCGCCCCTCCCGGTTGCCGTCCCCTAAGCCAGCTTCGCATAGCGAAAAGTCAGGTTCGCCTAAGAGCGTAAGAAAAAACATACCTAATCTTGATCCCGTCCAGGCGAAGAGCATTTCGCAAAGGCCAAAGCGAAGCCCAAGACTGAATACCACTTCAACTGCGCCACGCAGCGGTGGGAGCCAAAGGCTGCTCGTGGGGGTTTGCTCCTGATCCCAACAGTCCTGGCCTCCTTGGGTCATGGCGGAGCGCTGGGTGCCTTCTTCAAAGATTTGCAGGCAGCGCCGCCTTCTCCTCCGAAGCCAGAGCCCTTCCGCCCCGGAGCCTTGGCACAGATTATGACTGTTCAGTCTCGTCGGAGTTGCGCGGCCGCAACCGCATAGCCCTGCTAAAGGTCCTGCAATGCCACGACAGCGGCCTCAGTACCAGCAGCCGCCCTGCTGCCATTGATGAGACTACACCTAGAAAGAGAGGCACAGCAAATGACTTGAAGTTTGATGAGGCAGGTTGTGCCGCCGCGGCCGATGGCACCGCAAGCGCCGCATGCACCGCCGCGAAGGCAGGAAGCTGCAAAGTCTTTGGGGACCTGCCATAGATTCGCCAGATGGTCAGATGCTCCACCAAGCGCCTCTGCAGGCTGGTCATTGCAGAATGCGAGGCGGAAGCGCGGGCAGACGCTTCGAGCGGCAGCTGCAGTGTGGCACAGGTTCAGCTGCTGCGCACAGTCGTTGCTGTAGCTGTCACTCCACCAGACGACATATGAAGAGTTTATGCAAAGCCTGGTGCCGCAGAGGCCCTTGCCGTCCGCTTAGCCTTGCGCTTCGAATCCAGACCGAAGGATATCCTGGTGAGCCCCTGGGCTGAAATAGCAGCAAAGCCCTTGCAACTGGGGGTCGTTCGTAACAGAGAGAACGCAGAGTTCCAAGCCTGCATTTGAAAGCTGAGAGTGACTGTTCGCAGCCAACAGCCTTCTAAATGTTACCACCATGATTCACAGGCATGAGTGAAGCCGGTCTTCCTGCTGCCAAAGATCAGCGCTCCACGGTGAAGACCATCATGCGGCTCTGCCACCCGGACAAGTGCAGCTCGGCCTTGCATCGGCTCCGATTGTTTTCTCTCAGCCCTGCCCCATCCGAGGCAAACACCCCGAGGCCAAGCGAGCGATGCAGATCCTGGGGCCTCTGCTGTCCTGAGATGGTCTGGGCATCTGCCCGTATCCTCCGAAACTGCAAAAAGACGAGCTTTTGCCCAAAGTTCCCGTTCTCGCGACCAGCTCATCGAGGCCAACTCATGGTTCGTGCTGTTCGTGACCAGGAATTACGGAGCAGATCGAATGCCGAATTGCCGCACATTTTGCCGTGATGCTGAGGGCTTTCCGGGTCCTCGTTGTTGCTGTGGCCGCTGCAGTGGTCTCAGTGCAGCCGGAGAGCACTGGGATGGGGAATAAACAGCAGGCATGTGAGTGGAGCCGGTTCTTGCAAGGATAATGAGCGCTGCTTCTGGCCCCAGGTGAGTCGAAAACTCTCGACTTGCGGATCCATGTAGCACCCTCCCACAAAACCAGGCAAGCAATTGTATTTCGACACTTCTAGTTGTTCTATGTCAACGTTTCCGTCGTAGTTGTTTTTTCTGTTCATGATGCGATGGCTGCACGTCGCTGTCATGGCCGGGAGCTGCCCCGTTCCGGTCTTCTCTGCCACCTCTGCCAGCTGCCTGTCACACAGGACCTTGTGACTTTGTGGATGTCGCTTTTGGGAGCCTGGACGAAAGGTTGAGCAAAGCCGCGAGTGCTAGGACTCGCCAGGCGATCGATGAGGAAGCTCATGGAGAGCAAAGCATGCAGCTACTGCAGCATGCACGGGACCGCCACGGACGGCAACGGGTCCCTCCCAGTGGCTTTTTCAATACGTCGGCCATCTTAGCAGACAGCCCTGGAGGCTCTTTGCGGACTTGTGGCTATTGTTAGTCAGTCTAGCCAGCTTCCATCGATCAGGTACTTTCCTCTCGCGCATGGCTATCTTGGTTCAGGCTGTCGGTCTGACGTAACCCGGAATGCAGCAATGGCACAGGCCAAGGAACGTTTTGGGGGTTGAGGTTGGGGTGGTGCTTGTCCCTTTGGCTGTTTCACGTGCATGAGACTTAATCGTGCCACGCGCTGCGTGATCGGTTCTTTGAAGCGGAATGCCCATGGAAGGCGCTGATCGTGACAAGCAGGAGGTGTGTCGAACTCGTGCATTTCAAGCACAGTCGAGCGTAAGTTCGTAAGCGCATGCATGCGCATGATACAGTAGCTTGAAGAGTGTATCACTTCTGTTGCTTGGCGGGGCATTGAGGTACAATACCACCACCCCGAAGTTTCAACCGGGGTTGGCTGATGCCAACATATCTTCAGGCTTGCTTGCCCTGCCAGCGCTCGGCTCATAGGTGTGTTTCGATGTCTGAGAAGGTGCTGGTACCTGGTTTCGAAAGAAGCAGTTCGATCGTGACCCGGAGAAGGGTGGCGTCTTTGCCAGAGTCTTTGCAAACGACGAGCTGCATTCGGCCATCATCGTCTTCAAAGGCATCTGTGACACCATAGGCTGGGCCCACGGAGAAGCTAGTTTGACTCTTGGTTCGTTGGCATGCGTAGGCCTCGAACAATGCACCATTGATGCATGCAAGCTCCCACGCAGAAGCTAGTTTGACTCTTGGTTCGTTGGCATGCGTAGGCCTCGAACAATGCACCATTGATGCATGCAAGCTCAACAGCATCGGAGCCTACGGTGTCTCGGTAGAAACGGAGACGATCTTTGCGGGCTTTTGTCTTTATTTAACATCCCAGTCCCAGATCTTATTTTGGACATTCAGGAGAGCTCTCGGAGGGCATCGCTGCAGTGTTCGGAGCAGTACCGTGGCAGCAGTTCGCGTTTGTCGTGGTTCGTTGATGGGAGATTGCTGCCTGGCCCGGTGTGTGCCCCATGCCTGGGATGATTTCATGACATTCGTGCCATGCATGTCCACAGGAGAGATGGATGAATCAAGTTTCCTTGTTGTGACTTGTTTTGTTGCCACTTCGGTCCGGCTCTAGACTCTCTTTTCTGCCAAAACGGGGTCGGTCCAGGACGACAAGACATGCGAAGGCTACAGGGAACACCTGAACTTCGTGGAGCAGGCTTTGGAAGAGATCACCCAGTGCGTTGACGGTTACGCCGAACGCACACAACCAGAACAGCATGTGTGCACTTGAACAGCTACGTTGCAAATGCAAGGTGAGCTACTAAATGGTAAAACAATGCAGTGGAGTTCAGCTTGCAACAGTAGCACGACTGCATCCATTCTCTTTGGTTATTTTCTCCACCAAATGCAGGCTTTGAGTTACGCTGCCGCGGTCCGCAGCGCGCTAGAAGACTACGAAATCATCCTGACGGGGCACTCCCTCGGAGGCCCTGATTTCCACATGGTTGCTTTCGTTTCCGGAAGAACCGACAGATCGCAGGCCTGCTGGCGATTGTCACGGCTTCGCAGCTTGGCCTCCCAGCGCTGACTTTTGCACCGACTCCTTTCCACAACGTTCTGAAGCAGGAACGTGAACAGATGCTTGTGCTGAGCTTCTGAGCGGTTGCGCTTGAAGCCTCAACATGTTTTTGCACCTCCCTGATCGTTACTTGTAGCCCAAGTCTGAAGTTATGTCGCCGACAGCTTTCGGTGGAGGATCTTTCGGTTGTGGAAGGGTTTCGAGCTTGTCTGACCAACCGGCCGAGCGAGAAGATATCCTCATTCTCATGTGTGCTGACAGAACCTGAGGGTTTCATCTGCATGCGCAAACTCTGCTGCACGAGCGTGGGCCGGTCAAGAAACAGACTGCAGGAGTTGAACCTCACCGACGAGCAAATCTCTGGCATGGACTCGGACGACCTGGTGTCCTTGCGACAACTACAGTAGGGATCCATGTAGAGCCGTTGCACAGCACAGGCGGTGGACTTGAGAGCCGCCGGAAGTCTTGAGATGTATTGGGCAGTTTTGCAGTTCGGTGGCTGCCCTCTTTGCGGGTTGCGATGAGCTTGGCTCCATGCAGTTCCATCCGATTCACTGGCCCACCACTTGGCCGAGAATTCCCACCGTGGTTCCGGTTTGTTCTGTATGATCTTTGTCGCTTGTGTGGGGGGACATCTGTGAGTGCCTCTCTTCCCTGCGTGCACGCCTCATACTGAACATACACAAAAGTAAACCCTATTGCTACCTGCGAGGTGCGTGGCCTGTCAGCAACCCAAGACAACATGAAGTACTCGAGCCGTTGTGGTGGGGTAGGAATGGTACGAATGAGGGAAGTACACTTGGGTGTTGTGCAGAGGTGGCAACCTGCGATCCTTTCGATTGCGGCATCAACTCTGTCTACGTCGACGATGCACGACGTGGCTCCAAGACATGTCTTTACATGGAAACATGGCCCAATTAAAATCGTGAAGCGTTCTGTCAGCCTGCTCCTGATTCGTCAAAGCACAACGAGAATTTTATGCATGAGCCATTGAAGGCTGACCGGCGTGCGACTAACTTGAGAACTCGAGGATACGGATGAGCCATCCCCTTGCAAGTCTTTGCCGTCGTCCCCGTATGAAGCAGAAGGCCGCCGTGCTGTTCGTGGTTTCGTTTGCAGTTCTACAGCTCTACGGCCGTATTCCTGATCTTTCTTGTCGAAGCCCGAGGCCAATGAAGCACTGTTCAGAAGCGCATTGTTGGAGCCGCTGAGTATCGACTGCCATCTACGAACTCGCTTGATCAACAGCGTCGGCCTTGAACCTGGGTTTTTGAATCTGGCGTTGGGGCTATTCAGAGGCATAGGTCGGAGCATGTCGGAGCGCTCCGGTTCCATCATCGAACGGTTCTCAACTCCCGAGCTCCCAACAGCAGCTGATGCCAAGACCCGTGCCCTTCCTGGAACAGGATGGCGGGAGAGGTTGCACACGAACGGCTCCAACCTTCTCCCCGCCGCGCACAACCTGCTTTGTAAGCTGAGCGGCCCAGCTTATAAATTGAGAGATGGTGAACATCCATGTGCTGTGCTTTCCGTCGTGGCCACGAAGCCTGAGCTGCTGCTGTTTGTTGTGGACTGCATGACTTATCTGCATTGGGCATGATCATTCCACGGGGCAGCCTCCAAAAGAATACATGAAAGCAAGTGAAACACACAAACTGCCCGTATTGGTTGCCTCGGTCGGGATGATTTGGGCCGATGAGGGGGAATCATTAGGTTCTGTGCGATGCTGGGTTCCGGCCATTTGTGTGCCAAGGTGCTCACAAATGGCCTCGGTACGAGGCCCGGCAACACCACGCAATCCCAGAAAGAGCAGCACACCAATGTTTTGCCGCGCGTGATGCAGTGCTTCATATGAGATGTTCAGTGCTTGCAAGGAGATTGTGCTGAAGCAAGAGGCGGATGGTACGCCTGGCAATTTGCCGGTGGCATGTTTGCAACCAGAGCTTGGGAGAGAGACAGAGAGAGCAGGAGAAGGCTACCTCGTGCCCTAGCCCTGGCGAAAAGGACACCGACCCCTAAGCCCAGCAGAAAGAAAGAAAGAGAGAACTCTCACTTCTATGCCATGATATAGTTCTTAGCTCTTCTGCTGTTTGTAATGTGTGTGTGTGTGTGTTGTGTGCTTGAGTGGAGCCGCCCAGAACCTCGTGAGCTGTAAGTAAGAAACAAACAGCGAACGGGGGACCAGCGCCGGTGTAAGCCGGATGAGGCCGAGGGATATTACCTGGTCTACAGTAGTGGTTTGCTGCTCGGGGGACTCGGCCATCATCGACCTAAGCTTTCACATGTTAACCGAACAACCAGTGCGCGCTCGC